TTTACAATTGTGAGTACATGAAACACAAAGATTATTCTTGTATTATTTATTAATTATTCTATTATTTTCTATATAAGCAACTATAAATCTACTTTTGCCCCATCCTGTATGCGGCATGATAAGAGTTTTAATAATAACTACAATGGCAATGAAATTACAATATAAAAATGTATCAGTTCAACATGTTGTATGTCTTAAATTTGCACAATGTCATATGTCAGATGTTTTTCAATTAAGAAAATTGTTCTAAGTTTATAGAGATAAATAAGACACAGTCTTTACCCTCTAGGAGCTTACAAATAGAGAAAATTCAATACACATACTACAAAAAAAGAAGATGAAATGGAAAAAAAAACATACTGTGAAGGCAGCATGCTAAGTGTCTAAGTTTGACTTGGGGGATTGAGGGGTGCTTTCCAGCAAAGGCAGTACTCACAGTAAGCCTTGGGAGACGAGTTTTGATAACAAGAAAAAGTGAAGGAAGTTAAGAATCAGTAAGTAGACAAGGGTCAGATGCTGAAGACACCAGTCAGCAATTCTAAGAAATGTGGATGAAAAAATGTATAGGCACTGGAGGAAACACTTCAAGTATTTTTAGAGGAGGAGGTGTTTTATTTTATCTGAGGTTTAGATCATTCTCCACAGCTCTGTGGAGGATGGATTGGAAAGGAGAAAAACTCGAGGCAAGATGAGTGAGGAGGCCATGTGACAGTGCAGATGAAATGTAATGACGATCGTTTCACTTTGTTACCTGTCTCTGAACTAAAACCTCGGCTCCATGAAGGTAAGGCCTCTGCTTTGTTCACTGCTATACCCCCAGTGCTCAGAACAGTGCCTGACAGAGAGAGTTCACAGAATATTTGTTAAATAAATGAGTAACTAAATCAGTGAAGGAATATATGAATGAATGAATGAGTGAAATAAAGCAATGCAAGCGCAGAAAAGAGGACAGAAAGAGACATTTGCCTCAGAGAAGAGTTCTCTTTGTCTGTGGACACATGCCATAGCTGGGTCCTTTTCGAGTGCTGGCAACAGATGAAGTCTGTTGGAAAACCTCCCAGGTTTGCCTGTCCGTGCTCTTCCCAGCATCTGTGGCATCTGCCGCCTCAGTGCCCACCATCTTCCCACCATCTAGAGCAGAGGTTGGCAAACTCTGGCTCCTGGATCAAACTGGTCCTGCCACCTGTGCGGGGTGGGGGTGGGGCTTGTAAATAAAGAACAAAAATGGTTAGAGTGGGGGAAGCAAGAGAAGAATAATGCTTTGTAAAACACAGGAAATTACATAAAATTACAATTTCAGTGAAAATTACATGAAATTAAATTAAGTTTCATTGCAACACAGCCGTGCTCATGTGTTTACATTATGGTCACTGACTGCTTTGGCCCTGGAGCGGCAGAGCTGAGTAGTTGGGACAGAGACTGTATGGCAGCAAAATCAAATATATTTACACTTTGGTCCTTTACAGAAAAAGTTTGCCAACCTCTCATCTAGAGGAGCTCACAGGAAGAGATATGAAAGCTTACTCACAATAATGAATAAATCCTTCATTAGTGGAATCTCCTAAAGTATATATTTTAAAATATAATAGGTAAGACAAAGCATCAAATTACAACAAAAAACCAACAAGAAAGGGGAAAAGATACTACTAATATTAGCCGCATATCATGTGCCAGCTTCTCAGCTAAGCACTTCTTTAAATAAAATTGATCCTCTCCTTGCCTTCCCACAAAGCTGCAAGGCAGGCATCACTGTTCTCATTTGACAGAGGAGGAACCTAAAATTCAGAGGCTGGATAATTTTTCCCTTGATCACAAAGCCAACACAAGACAAAGCCAGCATTTGAACCCACAGTAGTTTACCTTCAAAACCACATCCTTAACTGTAACTTCAGAATTCCAGGCACAAATGAGCAAGTAACGTTGGGCACACACACAGTGGAGAGGGGAAGGAGGATCCTCCTACCGTCCTTGCAACTGCAGTGTTTCCAGGGCAGGGAGATGGAAGAAGGTGGAACCGTGAAGCCTGGCGCCTGTTTTAATGGCAGCACATCTCCTTCCAGCTATCCTGGCGGGAGAGGAGTGAGGGCTGATTGAGCAATGCTGGGCAGTTCTATGTGAGCATCACAGCTGCAAATGATCCCACCAGAGCTGGCTCTTGGACATGGAAGAGAACTCCGAAGAAGATGGGCAGGCGAGGGTTTTATTAACCCAGGAGCTGCCGACTTCATTGTCGGCCAAATGTGGGCTAGAGTTTTCGGGAAGAGGGTGGAAGATCCAAGCATAGTTGCCATAGGATGGGAAAAACAAAAACAGAAAGAATAGAAATACAGTAAGGGTTGTAACAACAGTAGTTGAATAGAGATACTTGTTAAAGGAAAAATAAGGAACATAGATCCAGCGTGAACTGGAATGGTTACGTTTAAGCAGGGAATCAGATCCAGCGTAGAGTCCAAGCTCCGGGGGAAAACGGAGTCTCTCTCCAGGTTTGAGAGAGAGAAAAGGGCCTGTTTAAAGCCAAACACCTGTGGAACTGTCTCATTAGGCAAACCACATTTCGGCATGTTGCTGGTTGGGTAGAGATACATGAGTCTTTTGGTTGGTGGCACTGGGCTGGCGATACGTCTGCTGTGAATGTGGGGCCCATCTTGGCCCAGGCCTCCAGCTGCCTCTGCTGCACAGGGAGGTGCCTGAGTCGGCTGCCTGGCCACAGCCGGGTCTTGCCAGCGATCTCCTATGCTGTGCTCATTGCATCATGCGCTTTCTAAAGCACAGGTGCAGAAATGATGGTATAGGAAAGTCCAGTGATTGGACTAAAGCCATGGAGAACTTGGATTGGAGACCCCCAAGGCCCCGCCCCCGACACACTTGGTTTGCAGAGCACTTGCAGTTTTCACTGTACTAACGTTCAGTGCTTTTAACTCGGCTGTCAAGTCATGGCTGTCTTAAAAAGATTCTTGCAGTCCACAGAGTGGACTGACTAAGGAACTAACGACAGACGCACATCTGCTCTAACATTTGTAGTAGAATGTGGTAGTGACAACATTTTAACAATAACGGAAACATTATACATAGGATGAATATTTCCCCAAATCTGTTGGTGTCTGTAAGATTCATACACGTGACCCCAGGACCCAGTAGAGAAAAACGTGGCATGTTCAAATGTTTGAAAAACTCTAGATTACATAAATGTAAACAGATTTATTTACCATGTGATTTCTCAAAACATTTAATATACTTTCATATTCTAGGAATATCTAAAAGACAAATGTAGCAAACAGTGTTCCCAAATATATTTGACTATCCAGCACCCCGAGCCACCCCCCACCCCCCACACACATGTATTTTTAGGTGCACTCATGGGAACAGCATTTGCTGAAACATTTGGAAAAGCACCGGCCTAAACATACACAAATTCCAGCAAGACTAACACAGTTTTTCTGTATTTCATCTTGTTTATAGGAGATTGCAAAAATTTCCTAAAGTCCAGAGTTTTGTAGGAGAGACCTCAACACCTGTCATACTGAGAGAGAGAAAACAGATTTTCATGCTCTGGCCATTCTGTACTTTACCAAAGTAATTATACACGAGTGAAAACCTGAAGCAGATAAAATTGAAGCCACAGTGTATTCATCAAGGGAAATTAGCCACAGTGAATACTCACTGCATCATGGGGAGTAATGAAGATTAGGAAGCTGTGAAAACAGCTGCCAAAATCAGGAGTATGAAGACTGATTTCTCATGTTTTCAACTTCCTTGGAAAGCGTAGGTTACTTTTCCAAGCACAGACTGGTTGCTGCATTGACTGCGCCATCAGGGCACCAGGGCAGACTGCGCTCTGCAAAGACAGAGCTCCCTGCCCCACGGGGCCAGGTGGGGCCCAGGGGGCAGACCGCGGGACTGCAGGAGCTTCTGGCTCTGAGGTCTTTGGTCAGCGCTGATCTTGGGAGTGAAGTTCTTCCTTTGGTCTACAGCATCTCGTTGTCTATTTTTAGTCAATACCATTCTCCCCCAAAGTCTTAGCTCCCTTGTATATTTTCACATTGCTAACTTTCAACACCAAGTTTACTTCAGCGATCTTTCCACAGACCTTCTCTTAGTGGTGCTTGTTGCGCCCACTTCACAATGCATTGATTACTTCTTCTTGCTCAATGTCTTACATTCAAAAGATCGATTAAACACCCTTGCTTTGGTCATCACCTGCTATAAGCTGTCCTTATCACTGGACAGTCTTCTCCATTTTCCAGTTGCTTCTGGTATATTTGGGAAGTTTCCTATGTCTTATTTCATATTTTATCTATGTACACAAAACACCCCCACGTCTGAAGGCCTGCATCTTGCACATGTGACATGAGTGAGGATTTTTAATGCATAAAATATGTCTGCATTAAGCTGATTATAAACAAAGCAGTTCAGTGGGGCAATTAAAGGCTCAGTTTGTGGGACAGCCTGTCAGGGAATAAAGAGCTTGTTAGCTGTAACTCTGGACAAGTAATAGATCTTTCTGGGCCTCATTTCCCCACCTACAAACTGGGGGAAATATATTACCTATCTCGTTTGGTTATCACAAGGATTAATAGAATTAACATATATAAATGGCCTACAATAGCACTTAGAACATACTAAATTCATTAATTATTAGTTATTATTATTTCTACCATTTAAACTAAACAAAAGCATCTTTGCTCTGGCTACATGACTCAGTTGGTTGGAGGGTCATCCCATAAATCAGAAGGTTGCATGTTCAATCCCACGTCAGGGCACTTACCTGGGCTATGGGTTCCATCTCCAGTCAGGGCGTGTATGGGAGGCAACCAATCGATGTTTCTCTCACTGGTGTTTCTCTTTATCTCTTTCTGTCTGTCTCTCTCTCTCCCGCTCTCTAAAATCAATAAATATATCCACAGATAAAGATTAACATAAATAAGTTAATTAAATAACAAAAGCATCTTCGAATAAAGTGTGGAGATTTTTTTTTAAAGTATTTTTTCTGTCTCTTGAAGGCCCAGATTATAAAAAGGATCATCTACCTCAAGTTCAACAGCATACCTCATATATAGGAGAGAAGCATCTGGCACTGGAGAGAACTGGAGACCTCAGCTATTTATGGAGGCCTGCCTCACACCTAAGCTTACCAGCAAAATATAAACATGAATATGTTGGCGAAATTGGCTGGGGAATACCGCAGTATGATTTTATCAACAAAACAAGGCTTAAGAGTGGCTTTCATATCCAGGTATTGCTCTTCAATTTATGTTCTTCATAGCATACTGTTGTCTGCTTTGGATTCTTCCTGAGTTTGCTTCCATGGGAAACATCACCTTCTTGGTCTGTCATGGAGAAGTAATGGCATTTGAGTTTTGCAGAGAAGTAAATGTGCAGAGAATGTACGTGCTACCGCCCTTCCCATTTAGCACCCTTAATCTGTGCGGGGAGAGGTGTGAAGAAAACGAAGCCCTGGGGAACTGGAAAGCATTGGTGTCTGGCGTGGGGGCGCGTTCAGAGTCACATTTATGCTGCGACATTCACACACACTGCCCCCTCCCAGCACTGTTCTGGGAGTAGGAGGTGTAAAAGCAGGCTGTGCCGGGTGCTGGGTGGACAGCATCCACAGAGCTGACAAACAAGTCCCAGATCTCTAAAATCCACCATGTGGATAGTACCTCCGAATGAGGTAATCCGGAGGGTGGGTCCTTAGAAACCTTGGTGATGCGGATGCAGGATGAGCCTGTGCAGTCGCCTCTGGAAAAGGAGGACAGCAGAGGTGACTTTAGAAGTAAGATCTGAGAATTCAGGCTTTTTCTCAGACAGGACTTTGCATTATCTGAAAATGGAATATGTATCAATTATGTAATAACTGAATTTCCTTGAGTCTTAAGGCAATACAGTACAGCCTCATACAGTAAAGGTTAACGATAGGAAAAGCCCTTTTCTGGCCCAACCTATATACAACAGCACAGGAAAGTGATTGGGTGCTCAGTCTCTGACATCAGACAGTCCTGGGTTCAAATCCTGCCTCGGAGGTAGGTCTGGCTCTGGGACCTTGCCTGGGGAATTCACCTCTCTCTGTGTCCCCTCATGTCTTTTCCACAAGGCAGAGTTTAGAGGGCCCCCTTCCTAAAATCTCCAAATTTCTTTTCTACTTCTGCCACCGACTAGCTGTTAGTGGCCTTAGGCAAGTTCCTTAGCCTCTGGGCTTCAGTTTCTTCATGACAAATCTTGGTATTTAACTTATTGGGCTGTTGTAAACATTAAACACATTAATATTTGCAAAGTGCTGGGAACAGTACCTGGTACATATCAAGCACCCTACATGTTTACCATTATTATTATGTTGTGAGGATTAAATATGAGAACACTCAGCAAGCACTAAGCATGATGGTTGACATCCAAATTTCAGCTCTCACCACTGTGGTTGTGTCAGTTGTCAGTACTGTGGTTGTGGTTAGTGTCGCTTAGTGCCAGTGGAACAGAACGGAATTAATGCTCAGGTTCTTCCCCTGTGTCCTGTTCCACTTAGGCTCTAAAGACGAAGATCAGACATTTGGTGCAATATCAAAACCGGCCACCAGCAGGGAGAGGACAGCCCCAGAGCGAGGCAGCTGGTTTGAAGGGAGTCCAGAACTTGCGCTGCTTTGTGGCTTCTCTGTGGCTGATGCCCTGGTTAGGTAGACAGTCCCCAATCTGTCTGACCATCTTGAGTGTGTATAGCTTCTCTTCCTTCTTCGTCTTTAACTTAACACATTTGTCTGCTCAAAATAAGGGTTTTTGAAGCCAATAGGGATGTCAGCCACAACTTCGCCTTCCATTTATCCCATTTCTTTTGTTCGTATTTCACAGGTGGTTTTAAGCCTTGAAGTCACTTCTCTGCTTGGCAGCCCTGTCCTCTTAACCCCTGTGGGACTGAGTGCGAGCCATACGACAATTTCCCTCTCCCAGCTCATGGCACTAGCAGAAGCTGGTCTGGTTTGACACAAGTTGTAAGGGATGTTGCTTCTCATCTGTGCACTTTCTTGGCCCTGGCATTTTGATAGTAATTGTTTTCAAGGACTTACCTGTCTCGGTTAAAAATCTCAAACAATATCTTAAAGGGTTTCTTGGCCCTGGCTGGTGTGGCTCAGTGGATTGAATGCCAGCCTGCAAAACCAAAGGGTAGCTGGTTTGACTCCCTGTCAGGGTACGTGCCTAGGTTGAGGGCTGGGTCCCCATTTGGGGGCAAACAAGAGGCAAGTGATTGGTATTTCTCTCCTTCTCTTTCTCCCTCCCTTCACCTCTCTGAAAAATAAATAAATAAAAATCTTTTTAAAAAACAGTTAAAAGGTTTCTTGGACTTAGAACTTTATAATGAGAGCAAAAGATTCACTGAGAATGCCAAGAACCCAATATAATTTTCTGATGCAAAGGTCTGGGCTTTGTCACGAGGGCTGCTCCTCTTCCTGGTGCCCCACACATGGTTTCTCCTCCACAGCCAAGGCAGACGGCAATATTCATGTTTCAGCCGAGCCTCAGACTAGGGGTCCTTGTCAACCCAGTGCCTCACGCAATTACTTCACATCAGACTTGGCACAAATTGACGTTTGAGCTGATACATCCACATACACACACTCCATGCATAAAAACAAACTCCTAACTACAAGTAACATATGAGAGAGGTGCTGGTAAATTCCCTACAGTGATGTCAGTTAATGAACTGTCTTAGTCCACGTCCTGTTCTCTTTCCGGTTCCCTGCGATTAGTAGGCCTCCATCACAGCTTCCCACCATCCGTGCCCTTAACAGTCCCAGTGAAGATGACACTTGGTTTCAGTCTAACTTCAGGGACGTCTCAGTGCTTCTCACTGCCATTGCTGGAACTTTGATTTTGAGCACAGACCTTTATCTAGTGGATTTTTCTAGCCCGCACAGCTGCTTTTCCTAATCGACTGCTCCAGGTTTGCACGAGGCTGGCAGTGAGGACAGCTCAGGCTCCTCCAGTAGACAAATGGTAGAAGGCCTGGAACAGCTGCTTCCTACCTGGGATGGTCTCTCCTCTTTGGGGCACTAGGAGGGGCCCCATAGATCATCTGGATTTGAGTAGAAAGATAATAACTTCCAGGTTGAGTGATGCGTGAAAAATATCCCCACATTGCAAAGGTCAGTACAAATCACAATATCAGGTTTCTCTTCTGGCTCTTTTTGTGTTTAGCTATTTCCTACTTTCTCATATGTGGGTTACAATGCCATAATGATATATGTGGATATAAGCCAGCAAACATCACTGCTTTTGTTATTATCTCAAATTTAAGAGCAGTACATTCTTTGTTAAAATGGATTTCGTCTCTGCCAAGATCTATGTGTTGTTTCTGGAAGAATACATGGAGACCATTAAAACAATTCCTTTGGTTTCAACCCCATGCGAAACTGAGGACAGTTCTGACTGCTGCTGAGCTGGGCATGTCTCCTCTTTGCTGGCCTCTCTTCAGTCCAGACCTGGACAGTATCAGCTGGCTTCTTCATGCCTGTTTTCTGCCCCTGCACTCTGACCTTGTGACCAAATGATTTAAGTCATTCAATTTTCCCAAAAAACAATGTTATAATGGACTTGATGACTCTAACTCTTCATAGATGTGAGCCCAAGAAAATATTAAGTCAGTTAATCATAACATATACTACAACCAGTATATCATCATACAGTATAACAACTTGAAAAATCTACAGATGGTAATAAGGGGAACCATGAGAACCTATAAATATATTTATATATAATACAGTACAGTATAATAAAAGTAAAGTCTTCGAGGCTTTGAAACTTCTGTCTCACTTGTAATTGGGCACAGGTTCCATTATTATAACATGCAGAGGGCTTGTTTGGGACAGTTTTATGGACATTTGAACAGACTGCTGATGAGACGTTGAGTTTCTTGATGGCTATTGAATCAACAGACCCACAGGCGGTTGTTTCAGCATTTTCTCACTGTGATTTATTTAGAGAAAGTAAACATAAAAAAGCTGCCATCGACTGAGTATTTACTATGTGAGGAAGGTACTCTGATTATTTCCAGTGTACAGATGGGGAAACTGAGGTATTAGCAGGTGAGGCTCCTTGCCTGTGACCACACAGCTGGTAAATGGTGAAGCCAGGAATTTAACCCAGGCTGTGAACTCAGGACTTAGAGGGAGTACCATGTGTTTGAGGCAAAAAAGGAAGTCAGAATGTGTGTTATCATTTTTCTTTAATGACGGGTCTGGCCGGGGTCAGTTCCCGTTGCCTTCTCTTATGAAATATGCATTCTTTCTCCGTGGTTCCCTCGATTTTCTCCCAGCTTCCCATTCTGCATTCTTTGCATACAGTATGCTTCATTCATGATGTTAAAATGACTTACTAGTCGCTATCATGCTCATATTTGATATAGTAAGATGTAGCTTAGTAATAATTATTTTTGAATTTTTATTTAATGAGCACTTTATAGTGTTTCAAAATGGATGATCAAATACAATCTTTGGCATTGTGGAAAAAAATGGCGAGGACAGTGAGGTCCTACCAAAGCACACCGTCTTTCCTCATCCCAGCCTGACCCCATGCATCCTTCCAAACTCTCCACCTTCACATGATGGTGTTCAGGAAAATTTTCAAATTCACCTGGAAAAAAAGAAATATTGCCAGTGTGGAGTTGATTAGTATGTAGACTGCCAATCACATATTTCAGGATTTCTACGTGGCTTTTACCCCAAATTCCCCATTTGCCTTTGGGTTCATTTGGATGAATCACAGTCACCAATACTGAGTTCCACACCCCTGGTCTGTATTGATAGTCTAATCAATACAGACAAACTTTAAAGATAATAAAGCTGCCTTTTTCAACCAAGTTATACAAGCAAAATAAAAAGTAGCTTTTCTAAAATTAGACATGTTTGGGTTCTTGATGTTCCTCCCCAGATGGGTGTGTGTTCAGTTCTCACTTTATACTTCTTAGAGTTACTTGCATCTTAATGGTTTGTAGTTTAATATGAAAATAATTACATTAGCACCTTTCATCCTGAGGTGCTGTATGTGCATTTTCTGATACCACAGGAAGCCTTCAGTAAGGGAATGAGTGCCACATGCTGACCATGTGTGAGGGAGGAGAAACACTGGTTAAAGAGGACAAATAACCCTCCTTCTTCTTGAAAATAACATATCAACACTATTAACCTCCTCATCCACAGATGTTATATTGTCCCCTTTTTACAAAATTTGGCTCTATAAGATTCCTCAAAT